TAAAAATTGAAACAACATTAGAATTGAAAATATTCAACTTTGTTTTAAAACTATACTATTTAGAGTTGCATATTTTGTTGTTTAAGCTATTAAAAGCTGCTGATGCTTTGCCATTGCGTGTTGTAATTTCCTTCTTCGTACTCCCTTCACTATCACAATGACTACCTAAATCAGTAAGTTGATCTGTTACTTTATTTACTTTTGTCTCTGGCTTTATATCTGCTTGATTTGTTGTTGTCGGTGTCTTCAGTATATTTGTCTTTTTAAAAACCTATTTGTAGTCCAACACTTGACACTATATTCGCTAAATCCATGTTTTTTTTTTTTTTAATGCGCGTAATTCTTTTTGGACTTAGCCGAACGGTAATCATTCACAGACAGAACGATATTACATTGAGGTATTTGTATTATTAGTTTTAATTCTGGCTAATGGTGTCTGTTGAACTCCTTGAGATTGAAATATTGATTGCTTATAAGCTTCAGTCTCACGGAGCTGCTATTGTCGCACCATCTCTTAGAGAGTTTGCTAGTTTTGCATCGTCTCTCTCAAAGACTTAACTTTAGCACCATCTCTTTGAGATTTGCTAGTTTAGCATCGTCTTTCAAGAAGACCTAACTTTAGCACCATCTCCTTGAGAGTTGCTAGTTGAGCATCGTCTCTCTCGAAGACTTAACTTTAGCACCATCTCTTAGAGACTTGCTAGTTTAGCATCGTCTCTCTCGAAGACCTAACTTTTGCACCATCTCTTAGTTGCTAGTTTAGCATCCTGTCTCTCCAAGACTTAATTTTAGCACTATCTCTTAGTTGCTAGTTTAGCATCCTCTCTCTCGAAGACCAAACCTTAGCACCATCTCTTAGTTGCTAGTTTAGCATCCTGTCTCTCCAAGACTTAATTTTAGCACTATCTCTTAGTTGCTAGTTTAGCATCGTCTCTCTCGAAGACCAAACCTTAGCACCATCTCTTAGTTGCTAGTTTAGCATCCTGTCTCTCCAAGACTTAACTTTAGCACTATCTCTTAGTTGCTAGTTTAGCATCGTCTCTCTCGATGACCTAACGTCTCTCTCCAAGACCTAACTTTAGCACCATCTCTTAGTTGCTAGTTTAGCATCGTCTCTCTCGAAGACCAAACCTTAGCACCATCTCTTAGTTGCTAGTTTAGCATCCTGTCTCTCCAAGACTTAACTTTAGCACTATCTCTTAGTTGCTAGTTTAGCATCGTCTCTCTCGAAGACCTAACGTCTCTCTCCAAGACCTAACTTTAGCACCATCTCTTAGAGAGTTGCTAGTTTAGCATCGTCTCTCTCGAAGACCTAACTTTAGCACCATCTCTTAGAGAGTCGCTAGTTTAGCATCGTCTCTCTCGAAGACCTAACTTTGGCACTATCTCTTAGTTGCTAGTTTAGCATCGTCTCTCTCGAAGACCTAACTTTAGCACTATCTCTTAGTTGCTAGTTTAGCATCGTCTCTCTCGAAGACCTAACGTCTCTCTCCAAGACCTAACTTTAGCACCATCTCTTAGAGAGTTGCTAGTTTAGCATCGTCTCTCTCCAAGACTTAACTTTAGCACCATCTCTTAGAGAGTTGCTAGTTTAGCATCGTCTCTCTCCACGACCTAACTTTAGCACCATCTCTTAGAGAGTTGCTAGTTTAGCATCGTCTCTCTCCACGACCTAACTTTAGCACCATCTCTTAGAGAGTTGCTAGTTTAGCATCGTCTCTCTCCAAGACTTAACTTTAGCACCATCTCTTAGAGAGTTGCTAGTTTAGCATCGTCTCTCTCCAAGACCTAACTTTAGCACCATCTCTTAGAGAGTTGCTAGTTTAGCATCGTCTCTCTCGAAGACCTAACGTCTCTCTCCAAGACCTAACTTTAGCACCATCTCTTAGAGAGTTGCTAGTTTAGCATCGTCTCTCTCCGCGACCTAACTTTAGCACCATCTCTTAGAGAGTTGCTAGTTTAGCATCGTCTCTCTCCACGACCTAACTTTAGCACCATCTCTTAGAGAGTTGCTAGTTTAGCATCGTCTCTCTCCACGACCTAACTCTAGCACCATCTCTTAGAGAGTTGCTAGTTTAGCATCGTCTCTCTCCAAGACTTAACTTTAGCACCATCTCTTAGAGAGTTGCTAGTTTAGCATCGTCTCTCTCCACAACCTAACTTTAGCACCATCTCTTAGAGAGTTGCTAGTTTAGCATCGTCTCTCTCCAAGACTTAACTTTAGCACCATCTCTTAGAGAGTTGCTAGTTTAGCATCGTCTCTCTCCACGACCTAACTTTAGCACCATCTCTTAGAGAGTTGCTAGTTTAGCATCGTCTCTCTCCAGGACTTAACTTTAGCACCATCTCACTCACAAGAGTTGCTGCGGCATACCATCTCTTTTGAAAAGATTTGTTACATTAGCGCTCTGTCAGACAGTTGTGTTTAACGTACTTATGGTATCATTTCTTTCAGTTAGTCTGTCTTAGATCTTAGGGACCTTAATCTCATACATATGCCGCTGCGTTAGTTTGTCTTTGACGCTTGTTATTTTAACACCGTCTCTTGCAGACAGCTGTTACGTCTAATGTCAGTAATAAAATATAATTGTAATAATAATGACAAAAATAATAATAATAGTAATTCACTACTTTGCTATCATTGAGCTTTGCTTCCCGCACCCCTACTTCAAATGCCAATAATAATAATAATAATAATAGTTGTAATAATAGTAATAATAATTGATTTCTTAGCTATCCTGGTGCTATTCTGCCCCACTCCTCAGCCCCCAAAAAGAGATTTAATAAAGATACATGTTAACAGATAATTAGTAGTTGTTATTCTGTTATTGTGAATTGTTACTTGATATCAGTAGACTCCCAGACAGTTGCCAAACTACCAGTGTCCTCCTGGGTGTCGGCATCTGCGACTTAGGCGCTGCACACGCGCCTCGTAATATCGACGTGCCCGGTTCGATCCCAGCTGTGGACGATTTTGTCTTGTGTTGATTTCGACATTAGTACCGAGATCTGACCGTTTAGCAGCAGCTATCGTAAAATGTGCCTGGAAAAACTACATCATCATCATGTAGCAGGTCCTTTGCAGAACGTCGCTGTCATCACGGTGTGCCTGAAAGAACTCGGTCTCTCGCCAGCTCTCCCGCCTCATGTACTTTCATACTCAAAGAGTTACTTATATCCTGTGACCATCTTCGTGTCGGTCGGCCCCTGCCCCTCCTTCCTGGTACCATGCCTTCTGCTATAATTTTTCCAATCTGTCGTGGCGCTTTAAATGACTATTTCAGCTTTCGAGACAGGATGCTATTTATTAGCCAATCTTCCTTGATGTTCAGATCTTTCAAGATGTCTGTATATCTCCTCTTCTTTGTCCAAGATATTCTGAGAATCTTTCTATAGCATTTCAGCTCAAAAGCCCCTATTCTCTTTCTTAAGGACTGTGAGATAGTCCACGACTCACATCCGTATGTTGCTACAGGGAAGATGTCTGCTCTAAGAATTCTAATTTTGATCTCCTTGCTGTTGCTTAACGAGAGACTTTTAATGATGTTTACTCTTTGCATTGCTAAGGCCATCCTCTTTTTAATTTCTGTCAAACAGTCTCCACTGTTGTTTACCACTTCAGCCCAAAATTGTTGGGGTTGGTTCTAAAACGTCGTCTAAAGGATATTAACTAACTTTAATTCTGCTTGGTAAATCTTTTGTTTAACTTCCGACTCTTGACCTTCTTTAAACTATTGTATCCACTGAATTGTTATTAAACTGTTATCTCTCCCGTGTCACTGTCTCTGTTAACTACTACTCGTACATGTCAAGAAAGTTGTTGATTGAAATCAATATATCGCAATTCCATGTGTGGGTTCCGGAACCCAATTGTAGGGACAAAAAGAATAGACTCACTGCCTCCTAATAAGCATGTCGTAAGATTCGACTAATTGGGGGTGTGTCTTTTGAAGTCGGGGTGCATCTGCATGCACGAGATTCAAGGAACGAACAGTCTGTGTACAAATAAGCCAGATCTCTAAAAACGGACGCGCACGCAAAACTGAAGCTGTATGCTACGGGACTAAAGTCCAAAAGTGGATGAACAACCAGAACTTTCCGCTGGAGTTCACAACCACTGAAAGCCAAGAAATCGAAAAAAAAAAAAAGAAAGATATATCTTAATTTTAGACTAGTGCTTCACAAATGTTTTTTGGTCGCGGCGCCCTTTTCAGTTAGCAGTTTTCCACGGCGCCCTTTTCAGTTAACAGTTTTCCACGGCGCCCTTTTCAGTTAACAGTTTTCCACGGCACCTTAACCTAAGTAAAAGTATGACTATTCGTGTCTTGATTAAATTAATTATAAAGCTTTTACAATATTTAGCGGCGCCCCTGTGAAGAGGTTGCAGCTCCCCAGGGCGCCGCGGCGCACAGTTTGGGAATCACTGTCTTAAACTATTGTTACCTAGACACCATCTGACTATGTAGTGCTCTGTTAATCTGTTTGCCCACTCTCAGTGTCTTAGATACATATCTCTTACAGACCCCACGCACACACTTTCTCTCTCTCTCTCTCTCTCTCTCTTTCTCTCTCTCTCTCTCTCTCTCTCTCTCTCTCTCTCTCTCTCCCTCTCTCTCTCTCTCTCTCTCTCTCTCTCTCTCTCTCTCTCTGTTACTACATCTCACTCTTATGCTTCTATGTTTTCAAACTCTGTCATATGTAGAATCTTGATGTCATTTATTCTATTCATGCTTCGCGTATTCAGCTCTGTGGCTAAGTCGATGCGAACGCTTCGTAATGCCGTGATGCCTGGTTCGATCCCAGCTGCGGGCCATGCTACTTGCGGTTTTTTTTCGACTGTGGTATCAAGAAAGCTGACCGTCCAGAAGCAGTGGCAAACTACTGGACGTAAATTTGCCTAGAAAATGGGGTTGGTTCTGCAACGTCCTGTAAAGGATACGCAACTAACCTATGCTTCATATGATGTAACTGATGTAACACGGTCTGTTTTCCTATTGCAGGACATACGCAAGGTTGTAGCACCTCTGTTGAAGAGCTTTCAGCTGGAGATCGACTCTCTGTCCAAGCGCAGCAAAGCCGCTGAAGCTGCCTTCCTGTCTGTCTACAAGAAGCTCATTGACTTACCAGGTATGTACCCTCATTGTTCGAAGGAGGCTCCCAGTTAGTCGACTCTTACGACATGGGTTAGGCAGTGGGCCTATTCCTGTTGCCCCTATAATAGGGGCCCCGGAACCCACATGGGGATTTCTTACACAAATTATCAACTATCACAACACAGCGGAATCAGTTTTGTGAGTGTATGTTTGTGTCTCACCCCGATACCCTCCGTCAACGTCACGCTCGGTCAAGCAGCAGCGGCGGTTAGACTTGCCGTGAAAGCACGGACGTTTTCTTTTTTGTCTTTGGAGCGTTCGAGTCAATATTTTCAGGCAACCTTTCACACTTGCCCGGTGTCAGGGATTTTAATTATGTCTTGTCAGCAAAATGTTCCCATTTTTGTCAATTAAACAAGGGTGCTGTGTTGTTTTTGTTGAGAGAAGGAAGAGTTAGATAATGTTATTATTAGTAATAATACTAATCTTGATTGGCAACTTTCTAATGTTGAACTGCAGCAGTCATTAGATCAAATTCACTATTTGTCTTTTGGCCTGTCTTATTGTAGATTGTTCTTCTACCTGCAATACTTGCTGATCCATAATTACCCTTGTAAAATCTTTCGCTTTTCTTCTCACTATCTTTATGTCTGTCGCGTCCGTCACTCTGTTTCTCTCCACCTGGCTGTTCCTCTCCCTATCTCTCTGTTTCTTTCTATCTCAATATCCCTGTCTCTTTCTGTATTTTTATCGTGTTGTGTTACTCTCACCACCGTGTTATGTAATTCACGGTGTCCTAACACAGCTTACTGCCCCATTTACTGCTAATTATTGTGGATACTCCATGAAATTATTTCTGTCTCCTTAGTAGCTACCTACCAGCTACCCGTCTATGAACTCGTCAGTCCACCCAAATCCCCCCCGTCTGTCTGCCTATCTCTGTCTGTCTGTCTGTCTGTCTGTCTGTCTGTCTGTCTGTCTGTCTGTCTGTCTGTCTGTCTGTCTGTCTGTCTGTCTGTCTGTCTGTCTGTCTGTCTGTCTGTCTGTCTGTCTGTCTGTCTGTCTGTCTGTCCATCTGGCTGCCTGTCTGTCTGTCCATCTGGCTGCCTGTCTGTCTGTCCATATGGATGCCTGTCTGTCCATCAGGCTGCCTGTATGTCTGTCCATCAGGCTGCCTGTCTGTCTGTCCATCTGGCTGCCTGCCTGTTTGTCCGTCTGGCTGCCTGTCTGTCTGTCCATCTGTCTGTCGCTCCATCTGACTGCCTGTCTGCATATCTCCATGCCTGTCTGTCTGCCTGCTTGGTTTCCTGTCTATACATCGGGCTGCCTGTCTGCATATCTCCATGTCTGTCTATCTGCATATTTACATGTATACTTGTCTGTCTATCTGCCTGGCTGGTCTGTCTTTCACTCTTCATCCATCTATCCATCAACCATCTATATACCCATGTATATCTGTGAACAGACCCAGTGCCTGCCCTAGAGCATGCACAGAACCTACAGAAGAAAGCTCACAAAGTTCAAGACCTGGAGATTGAGAACAAACAGCTGAGAGACACATTGGAAGAGTACAACCATGAGTTTGCCGAGGTTAGAAATCAGGGTGAGTACACACGTTGTTCAGTGTGTGAGTTGTTGGTCTCGTTTTAGACCTGATACCAAATATAAGGTGCACGACACAAACTACCACCGTAAAGAGGGACGTTGCCTCAAGTACCACCACACGTGTGGTGGTGCAGTCATTATCTTCGTCTTCTCCGCTCGTCCTTGAAAAGGCTGTTCGCACATTGTGTTGTGGTTTACAGCTGGACTGCGATGCTTTTTTTCTGACATCCTTGTTAGGGAGCAGTTGCTCTATCTCCCCCCCCCCCCCCCCCACGCAACTGTTTCAAATTGGTCTCTCTTTCTTGCTCTGTCTCAAGATAGACAGGTGGATATATATATATATACACAGGTAGGTAGATAGATAGATCAGTAGACAGACACAGACAGACTCTTCATCCAGCATTACAGGTCGCCGTCGAGACCGTTGCACAATGGACGAGCTCCGTAGCTGCAGCTTAGCTCAGTTTGTGTTCTTCTCCCCCCCCCCCCCCAATACTTGTCGTTGATAGGCAGAAAGCTGTGGCAGTTGCTCAGTCGCCTTGAATGTTCTCCCTGTCACATATTAGCGGCTCGTCTTTCTCACATAGTAGATATCAATCAATACCCTCCCTTATCAGTCTTCTTCTTCTTTGCTTTCACATTTGGCTTTAAACTGCGGCGGAAAGTTCTGGTTTTTCGTCCACTTCTGGACTCTGTAGTCATGTTGCAGAAACTGAGGGGTGCATGCACATCCATTTCACAGGTCTGACTCATTCGCGTGCAGACTGTTGGTTCCTTGCCTCTAAGGCAGATATAGTCCGAC